CAAAGTGTAAAAAATCAAACCAATCGACCCAAAACTTCTTCAACACCACCAATGGAGCGTCCTATGATGTTGAGCTCAGATTTGTACCACACTAAATCATGCAACGTCATCCATGGTAATGGTGATGGATATATCGAGAAAACTGTTCCGAGGCAACCAAGAATCTCACTGGAGATATGAATCTCCCACTTAACTCCTTTCTATGTTTTCTCTCTATGTTTTCCAACTCTCCAAGTCCAAATGAAAACAAGTGAATACACATAATTATAGAGCCAAAACCATTTTGAATTCAAAATTCAAAACCCATGACAAGTGAGATGACTATTTATAGAAAATGACCACAAGATTAAATCCAAAAATTGGATTTAATATATGGTCTACAATTATATCAAACTAGTACAATCCTTGCCAAACACTCAAGGCCAATAATCATATACCAAGCGGATTTAAGTGATCCACCTCACAAGATGGAAGCGCATTCAAAGAGGAAAAGGAAATGACTCAAGATTTAACCAATGGAACTACGCGTCTCAAAAGTTGGCAATTTTCATGCCATACAGAATTGTAGAGTTCATAGTTAACTTGAAGAGGATGAAGTCTATCGATTTAGCCACTACTTTCCTCCTAGATTGTCCACATTGGTGGTTTAATTTTGAAACTTCCCTGGCTGACTTACAAATGACATTTGATCCCTTGTGGCTGTGTACACTTACACAGATATTATTTTAGACCATTACTAAACGTCCAACCATCTTTATGATAATTCTTGATAAATACATAAAAATACTTCCATTTATCTACAACTATTGGTATACATTTATGGACATCGTGCTTGAATCATGTTTAACTACTGACATCACACACAAAACTTGATTTTCTGAATTAGTCCATCATTGTGACCTTGAATTGCCCGTGCTTCCTTTGTTGAAATAAGGACATTTCCTAAGAATCGACTTAGTGAAATACCGAAAAATTATACAATAATTTCCTTATGTAACATGTTAGGATTATGATTGTATGTGTGATAGCATCTACTATACGTGGAATATCAATGCTTTATGGTGCAATGTCACAGATTGCATGTTAGCTTGGCACTAACATATGTGACCAAAGGAGAGGCAGCCTGGCAATGAGTTTAAAGTGAGCTGTGGAGGAAGCACATTCTTGCACTGGGCAGAGGGCCTTAGCAATAGAGATTTCGAAAACTTCTTTTTCGGGAGCTTCTTTAAGATGTTATGAAGCTTCCCACCAAGTTGAAACGATTCCAAGTACATTTGAAAGAGCAATGATATTATCAAGTGCAGTACACGATAAGGCTTATTATGAAGGTAGAGGGCTTCAATATGTGCAGACATGTTATTTGGAGTTCAGGGAATGAAATTATGGATATTATGATTTCTACTCATGGAATTTGTTCCTAAGCCTCCTATAAGGGGGCATGCTTGGTGAGCATTCAGTCAGTCATCTACATGCACAAGGGTAGCTGCAGGGCACACTTAGACACAAAGTGAACAAACCTTAGCAGGTTGTGGGAGCACTTAAGGGCCGGCTTTAGGCATGGCTACTGAATATCTTTTTCTTTGTTTTTTTCTTTTCTCTACTTTATGACTTTTCCTTTGCAGAGCTGCCGCTCATGAAAGTAAACTTTCAATTTCTTTGTCTTTCATAGTTGTTGTTTGTGCATAATATCAAAAATTCTTTTACATTGGCTCCGGTTCTTTTCTTCCATCTGAAGCAGCTGTACTAGCTGTTTCCTTTACTCTTGGTTAGGTTTTCTTCAACCTCTATAATAAGAGATCAACTTTTTGATTGTTGCATCCTTTAGGATCATTTAGTTCTCTATTGCTACATTATTGGAAGGTCTTATTGCAAATGCAGATTGTGGATTTCATTGATAACATGGAGAGGATGAGGCAAGTCAATTTAGCCATCACAGCACTCGCTTTGGTGACAATTTTTCATACTATATAAGACACGTTGGTGGCAAATCTTAAAGCTTCTTTAACTAACGTAAAATATAAATGATTCCAGATTCCCTATTCATACTTCCACATAGATTATTCTACACCATTAATACAATTCTAACTATCTTCATCATAGATCTTGATGAACACATGAACTACTTCCATGTATTTATTGGCACCTTATAATGCATACATTACTTCCATTCGTCTAGTACTTAAATAAGTCCACGTGTCATAATGAATTTTTAACAATGCAAAAGAAAATAATAATAATAATAATAAAATTGAAAAATATAATATATATTCAAGTAAACAAAAAAGACATTTGTTTGACTTACAACCATGCGAGGCATGGACCTGCCATAACAGTTCACGTTGCGTTTGATCCGTGCCCGAAGCTTGCGCTCTAATACTGGATCGAATCCATCACATAGACGCCATTGCTCTTCTATCTCCTGTCTTGTGCTAGTAATAATTACTTCAGATACATCAAGAGATATCTCCTCGGCCTCTATACGCCGCATTATTTTGTACGTCGCATTGATCTCCTCCCTTGATTGGCGCCCTTGCTTCAGGAGTTGTTCAAGCTTGTCTTGTCCAAGTGAGTGACCGGTAAAAATCATTGGCACATTTAAAACTCCAGATAGGAGAGCAGCAGAGTTCCCAGCATCGGCATAGTGTCCATGAATGGCTACAGGCCAGAGTGGATCTCTGCTGCCAACCTGCTTTCCAAGGACCTCAGAAATCTGCACAATGTGGCTAAGTGCACCATCAACAAATTCAGGAATATGTGGCCAGAGAAGTTCTTTGGAAATGTATTTATCTTTTGGGCCAAATGGTATACGGATTATATAAGCACCACCACTTTCCCCGATTTCATTCTTGGGATTGTCAGTGTCGAATGGATTTAGCATCTCTATTGGCTCACTATAGGTAAAATCAACATCTGGTGCAGATACTTGTCTTGTTAGCAAATCAACACGATAAACTCCAGGCATTGCACCCAAGGCCCTGGCCAGTTCCACAACATACTTGACCTAAGTACACAAAATAGGACATGTATATTATTGGGAGCAATTTGATGAAAATTAGAAATGAAACCAAGTAAACCAAACTTTGCAGAAAGAAAGGCCTGAATCTACCTGACCACCTGTGTCAGAATCCCGACCAAGTTCCATGTTTTCTCCACGTATTAAGCCATGAAGACTGTAAGATGGGTTATTGTCAATAAATAAACAAGTTCACCAGGCTTCCATTTTAAAAAGAGTTATTAGTATATAATATG